TCTTATTATAAATAAATATATTATTAAGATAGATCTAATAGAAGTCGTTTAGATACTCGAATAGAATATTATTTATATATTATTAATATGTAATTAAGCCGTTAATTAGATCGAAGAAGAGAATTTAATATTTATATACTCTAAGAGAGATAATAAAAATAGTAAAATTCTCGCTATCGGGGTATATATATAGTTTATTAAATGCGACTATAATATTTAATCGAGTAAGATATTTATATTTCTAAATTCTTACTAAAATCTTATCTATTAATAAAATTAGATATCGATTTCTTTTAGTAATAGCGTTTAGCTTTCGATAGTCTATATAAAAATATAATTCTCTATTTAGCTTTTTCGCGAATAGAATAGATAAGACGAATAGTATATAGCTTAGTATTATAAATCTCTTCTTTAAATATTTATCTAGATACTTCTTTATCTATTCTAATTTATATCTTAATATTAAATAAATTCTACTTTTTAAAAATTTCGTTTTATCGAAGCTATTATTAAATTTTAACTTATAATTATAAGAGCGATATAGAAAAAGTATATTCGCTTTAGCTTTATCGAAAATATTAAGATACTTATAATACTTTATAGATAGCTTATATTTTATCTTTTTAAAATTAATCTCGTTAATACTATTAATCTAAATAGAGTAATTAAAATTATAATATCTTTTATATTTCTTTTCTAAGTTATAGAGATAGAGTTTGTTAATTAATATATAGAAATCGCGAGATATTTAGATAATAGAAGATATATATAATATTAGCGAGTTATTATAGATTTTATTTATTATTAATATAAATAGTTTATTATCTTTTTTACGAGCTAGTTAATCGTAGATCGCTATATTAATCTTAATAATATTAATAAACTTAGATTCTTTACTATTCTCGTTTTTATTTAATAAAAAGATATTTAAATTAGTTTTATTATTATAAGTAAGTAAAAGAGAGCTTTATTATTTTAGTATAATAGATAGAGAAGTAAGTAGTATAGATAATTAAAGCTTCGAAGTTAATAGAAAGAGAAGTTCGTTTATTATTAATATCTAATTATTATAGTTATATCGATTAAGTAAAAAGAGTATCTTATCTTATAATATATTAAAAATTATCTCGTATTTATTTATCTAAAACTTTCTAATTATTATATCGTATTTTAATAATATAATTAATATTAAGTATATTTCTTCTCGATAATTTTTTATTATTATTATTAAGAGTAAATAGTATATAATTAATTATTTTACGATCTAGTCGTTATAATCTCTTAGTAATTTAGATCGTAATAGTAAGAGTAGTTCTAGATATAAGACTTTATATATTACTAGAATTAAGAACTCGTTTATAACTATATAAGTATTAATATATCTATTATCTATAAGAAAGTACTTAAATAAATAAATTCTCTTTTATAAGAAAAGTATAATTTATATATAGAAAGAACGACGTACTAGGGCGTTATTAAGAGTGTCTATTAAATATACTTTATAAGTATCTCTTATTATAACTTTAAAAGAGGTTATTTATTTCTCGAATTTAATAAAACATCGTCGCTATCTATAGTATCGATGTTATTAATTTTAAATTCTTTATCTATATTTATAGCGTGGAGTTATACTTTCTTAAAGATCTTTTTATTAACCTCGATTTAGATAATTATTATATAGTTATTTCGATAATAGTCTTTTTTATCGTAATTATAATATATTAATTCTTTTAATTTTAAATTAATCTTAATATTTAAAGATATAGCGATTATAGTCTTAATAATAGATATAAGATATATATTAGTTATAATTTATATAATAGTTAGCTTAATAGTAGTCTTTATAAATTCTATATCTTTATATCTAGTATAATATAAGTTATTTAGTTTTTAAAGATATTTCTTTATAGTCTTTAAGATAGTAAATTCTCTTATAGTTTTCTATAACTCTCTTAGATTCTTTCTTAATTTATTTAAAAGATAATATTCTATTATAACGATTTTATTAATATTAAGAATAGTATTTAATCGAATAAAGTTTAAATAGAAGTTAATAAAGGGCCGAATTCCTTACTATAGAGTATATATATTACGCTATATATTATTATATTAATCTAAGTTCTTATAAATATCGATTAATTTATTTATAATTTTATTAATAAATTAATATAGATTAATAGAGTTTCGAAGTCTTCTATATATAGTATACTATATAGTCTTATCGCCGAGTTATAAGATTATATAAACTATTTTAAAGTTTTTAATAAGATAATAATCGCTATTAACTTTAAATTTCTATTTTATTTTAAAGAACTAGTTATTCTAGATAGAGTTGATATTATCGATAAATAGAGATAAATCTAAAATCTTAATTAATTTCTCTTTTAAATGTCTAGATATACGTTTTTCGTCGATCGAGAATAGTTATAAGTTCTTTATTAATTATAGATTAAGATTATTAACTTTTCGCTATAGAAAAGTTATATTCTTTTAAAAGTCTTAGACTAATTAATTTATCTTCTTAGTTATTTTATAAGCCTAAAATAAATTATTTATAGCTAGATTCTTTTCTATTATAGCGGCGTAATATCGAGTAATAATCTCTTAGAAATTATCTCGCTCTTAATAAATCTTATTTAATATAATTATAAATTCGTCGAGTTAGTATTTAATTTAATGTTATAATTATAGACTATTAATAATATTCTAAGACGTTTTTATCGAGTCTATTTTATCGACTATATTATCTAATAGAATTAATACTTATTAAAATTTAGTTTACTTAAATAAGATCTTAATTTAATCTATTCTTTCGATATTAGATTTTATTATAAAAAAGAAGATTTAAAATAAAGTAGAGAGGAGTTTAAATACTTCGAAAGAATGGATATTAGAGATATTAAATATATTAGAGAATAGTAAAGTTTCTTTAAAGCGCGTCGAAATTATTCGATATTAAGAATAAAATTTTTTCATTATAAAGCTCGAGAGGTATTTCTTTACGAAGGTTTAATATATTTATCTCTTAATTATTTAAGATATTAAGAAGACTATAGATACTTTAAATAGTACTTTTTCGAGTATACTTACTTCGCCTAGAGAGTTCTTTATCTTATAGAGAAGTTATATATAAGAAAGCTTATAAATAATATTTTAATAATATTAGCTATTTCTTTCGATTCGCTAATTATACGAATAATTCAATATTTTATTTATCTCTTAATTACTATTTATCGAGTTTAATTCGCTCTAAAATCGAATTATCTATTTAATAGGCTTATCTAAAAATACGATAGCTTAACTTAATTTCTTATTAAAGTCTCTATTAGCGCGTTTCTTTGAATTTATTCGCTAATATAAATAAAATAAATAAGTTAATCTTAGTTATAATATTAGAATTAATATAAATATAATATTAATATAGATATTTTAAATAAGATAACTAAGATATCGAACTATATAGATAGAAGAAAGATATTAAATAGTAGATAAATACCTCTATTAAGATACGCTAGGCTCGAATAGATAAGAGAGTTAAGTAATATATTAAGAATATAAAATATACTCGTAATAGACTTAGCTAATCTAATTAAAGAGCGTAGTATTTCTAAATTTATAATTAACTATATATATAAATTTAAGATTTTCTAGTTCAGCTCTATCTTATTCTTTTATATATATTAATTTATATAGAAGACTATATTTACTTCGTTACTTTACTTAATAAAGATAAAAATTCAATTTAAAAAAATTTGATAAAAAAAAACTAATAGAACTTATTAAGGAAACTAGATTTTATATAGAAAAGACTTCTTAATAATTAATATTCATAATTTTAGATAAGAAAAACATGATGTCTTTTTGGATTTTTTTGGATTTTTGGTGGCAAAGCCGGAGGGGGGGCGCGATTTTTTTTGCCAAGCAATCTTATCCATTTCGAAATCGCTAAAAATAGAAGGTTCAAGCGACCCCCGCTGCAGATCGTGGAGAGTGGGTGCATTATCCGAGAGATATAAGCACGCATTTTTTATACGTAATTATCTTCTATACAACCAAACCAGCCACCTTTCATACGTTGAGCAGAGCCTGAGGCAGTACACTGTCGTCTATGAGAATCCAGAGAAATCTCACCCATCGCTAGCAGTACCTATAGAGACGTATCTCTCCCACATACTGCCCAGTAGACAATTTCCAAACAAACCTTCTACAAATTCTCTTATTCTTCTATATCGCCGGCATCATAGCTACTTCAGACAAATGAAACGGGCGTAATGGAGACGAAAAGGGTTGGCAAGCAAGACGCAGAGTCTCTTCTTATACATCGGAACAGCCGGAAGATCTTACGCAGACGGAGCCAATTAGAACCCCTTCTTATACGTGGCCCCTTCTGATAAAGGGGCCACTTCTTATATCTCAGACGATGCGGAGAAGCAGCTAGCGTCTTGGCAGAGAGGCCTCAAAAAGAGCGTCTTCCCTTCTCACTATAGAAATGAGCACAGAGACCATGTACATGCTCTCTCTTGGGGTCTCTTCATTCTCATAGTAGCCTCTGTGCCCGGTTGTGCTTCAAACTTCAAGGCTCCCGTTGGTCCGGAATAGTTCAATGAACTAGTCCGATGGACCAGTCTGAGAGTTCTGATGAACGGTCCCAGCATAGTCTAGGTGTGTGGTCTGAGATTTCTGGATTGATTTGGTTTTAGGATTTTCTGATTAATATTAGTCAGTCTCGAGGGAGATTGGAACTTGAAAAGCGGGCATTAGGCTTTTTCGAGAACGGGTATGACTGTTCTGGTCTTCGTTCTATGGACTATTCGAAATCATCGTCCAACATAATCTGAACGAGTCGAGACGATAGACGAACTACGGACCATATGGGATGCTGTAGTTTGGGCGAGCGGGCCTCGTCGACGACGAGCTTTCTCCTTCCCCGATCGCCGAATAATCCGCAGAGCTGTCTCCCGGCTTCGGCGCCCTAAAGCCGACGGCAACTTTGAACGACTTCACAACCGCTGCTCTGACGAGCGCGGTCTTATGGCGGATACCCTTCTCCTTCGGCTTGCCCTTCTCCTTCTCTTTTCCCTTTCTCTCCCCTCCTCCTCCTCTTTCCCCTTGTCCTTTCCCAGGTCCATGTCCTTGTCCTTTCCCATGTCCATGTCCACGTCCATGTCCACGTCCTTGTGCTTGTGCTCGTCCTTCCCCATCCCCATCCACCCCACCAACTCCAACACATCAGGCCTATCACAGAGCGCGCACACCACAAATCCACCCTCAGCCCGATGAGCCAGCCTTGGCGCAAACCCCTCTGAACATTCCAGGCCCTTCGGCGCCCTCGTACCACTGACGTCCACGCTCACGAAGTCGACATCGTCATAGGTGAAATCGAGGCCTCCGTACGCCTGTGTCAGAAGCTTGGGTCTGGAAGCCACGCCTAAGGGATTTGCTTCCGGGACCGGGTCAGCGAAGGGGTCTTCCGGGTCGGCGAAGGGGTCGGGCTCTGGGGGAGGGTCTTCCGGATCGGCAAAGGGGTTAGGTGGTTCGGATTTGCCTTCTGCATGAGCCAGAGAGTAGGCGGCGCAAGGGGTGAAATTGGCTGGGATGTAGATGCAGGTGCAGTCGTCGTGCTCGAAGTAGAAGGTCTGGCACATTGTGGCGGTGGAGCTTGAGGTATGTAAGGATTCAGCTGAAATGTAGGATTCGTGGTTGAGTTGTATGTCAGGATGAAGTTGTGTGAATGGACACGGTGTCGTAGACACAGAAGTATTTGGTTCCTTCAGTGAGGCCACTAGGCGTGTCACGCAGGAGAGATTTCACAAATAACGGACGGCTTTGAACGAATTTGTACGATAACGCTCAAAGTTTTCTGCCGAGACCTGGTCCCCACTTATGGAAAGAATTGTATCGTCTTAACTTTGCACCCTACTTATTGGCACCGAATCAGATAAGCGAGTTTCAAAAGAACGATGGACGATGGATGTTGACAAAGGTTCGGGTCTCCTGTCTGCTAAGTTTTGCAAAGGGAAACGGGCAGTGGTACTGTGCATGAATTCTAGTGGCTCTTCCCGCATATGCGGTTTATGCTCTCGGTCGTGTTCAAAAAGCAAACGACATCATTTCTTCCGCGGGAGCTGACAATCACACAATTCGAGTCTTTTCTAAAAGCGCCAGCGCCGCATACAGTGCAAGGTTCTGCCCGTGTACATTCATCCATCTCCCAAGGAAGTAAATCCCATCAAAAGTCCACCACCACAGCCTCACAAACAGGATGAATACTCATATCCTGGTTCGTCGCACTCCTCGTACTAACAAACAACAAATTCGTCTCTCCCGCCGGCTGCGGCGCCTTTACCTGCAGTGCTACTTGCATATCAGTCACAGAACTCCCTTCCGCACCTTGTGCAAGCGCCGCCTGCAGCACGTCTCGTTGTGTTGCTTGGTCAGAGCATGTATTCACATTCTCGGAGTGTTGGAGGGTTACCGCATAGATGTATCCTTCGAGTTTTCCGGACTCATCGACGACTTCGACAACGGTGGGGGACTGTAGGTAGGACCAGTCGTCTGTATTGGCTGTGTTTAATCTTTGGATGGCCGAGAGGAGTGGGGCGCCAGCGGATGCGATGTTGAAAGTTGGAGAGTCTCCGGAGTCAACCATGCAGGTGCGAATAAAGTTACAATTTGCATCGGAAAGTGCACGTGATTGGAGCGGGCTAAGGGCTGGTAGAGAGATGGGGGCCTCGAGGTCAGCAGAGGAGCGCTTATGGATGTTGTCGTTCCACGTAGCAGGATTGACGCCGCGAAAGACCCGACTTGCGATTTGTTGGAACTTCCACTCTTGACCTGCGGCGCTATGGACGGCTCCATGTGTCATCCGCTTGGCATTTGTCATGTGTGAAGCCTGCTTAGACTGACCACGCTTTGCCACCGCTCCTTTCTTGGTGGTTTCTCTTCTCATCTTCGCTGGTTTTGCACTCGTGGTAGCTGGTGGTGGAGGCGCACTCGATGCTGGTGTTGAAACAGCACCTGGCTCGGTGAGAACTTCGCCCTTAGTGGCAGTCTCGGTTGCATTAGGAGGCATCTCGACTACCCCTGCAGGGTCCAGGTATGTGAAGCCGACATCTGTGATATCAATGACTTGGAAGGACTCATAATTCCCCACTCCCAAACATACGGGTACGTTGCCCAGAGCGATTAGGGTCTGACAGTTAGCCTCCCCATACCAAGCTACCGCAGAGTTTTTGTCGCTAGGGCTGGATTTCACGTTGGGAGTGATGAGGACGTTGTCAGAGCCGCCTTCGACAGGTATCAATATGTTGGAGTCAGATACGTTGAAGAATTGGGTCTGGCATCCGGATCCAACAGTACCAACGAACTCGCCGATGGTAGCGCCGGTGCATTGGCCGGCGGAGTTAAAGTCGAGTGTAAAAGCATTGGTGATGGACAAAAGTGCGGCTATAGCACTAGCAGTACGGGGTTCCCACATCGCAGTAAGCTAGTCTGGTGGATGGGAGGAAAAGATGCGACGGCAGCGAAATGGTAGATATCTGTAAACTCGTACCCGGCTTTTGGATTGAAAAGATTCCTGCGTCTCAAGAAATCTGGAAAGATGGTGCGCTCTGAACTGAGAAACCATTGCGCGCGGGTCTCGCGCAATGATAAGGAGGGTAAATGAGTAAGGGACACCCAACAAAACTGGCACACATGTCTGTTTCAATCAGATGGTACTCGGTGTTCAACTGTGCTTGACTTCTGTTGTCCCCGTGCCTCTCCTGGTAAGAGTCGGTTGTTGTTGTGGTACGCAAGGCAAAATCAAACGACAGGTGAAACGAGGAGGCGGCGGAGAAAATAGATGAGAAACTGCAGTCTGGGCAAGCATGGCCCAAATTAGCATCTTTGACTCTAAGAAACAGATGATCGCAGATGCTGACCGGATACCTTTCGGACGTCAATCGATGGTCGCGAGATAACAATAACCATGCTTCATACCGTGTTTATCAACGAAACATCAAGTATTCCAGGACGCCGTTGCCTTGATGAGGGCAGCAGGTCAATGAGTATAAATTACTTTTATGAGTGCCTAAGAATATAAAAGAGTTCCCCTTTCATTTTGATGTGAGACTGATTCACACCAGGTGTAGTCCAGGTTGGTCCTTTCATCTAGAGCCATTCTACAAGCTCGGGCATTGGGTCGACCTATTCGCACGGTTGATCGAATAGCCAATCGCATTCGAGACAATCCAACAGGCTTGTAAGCAGTGCTGTACAAGTGTGAAGGGGAAGATGTCAGAGGTTTTGTTGGAGTTGAGGGGAAACGATTTCACTAGGCTGGGTTTAGTCTAGCTCCAATCATGCCAAGTCATCATTCAATGGTCCCTCGGTCCAAGTTCCTTCCTTTCGTCTTCGCTCATCTCTGACTTGGAGAACTCTGTGCGGCATATTCAGAAGCTCTTTGATGATAATGCATTTGCACGCCAGCGAAGGAGCGAAGAAGTCACGGTGGAGAAAACACTGCTCATGAACAAGTTGGCTTCTGCCTTCTCTGAGCCAACTGGCCCTATCCTTTGACTTAAATACTGTCGCTCTTGAAGGCAACTGCCATGGACCCGATTCCAGGATCATATCTCTCCAAGAGTACATCATGTCTTCTCTTGTCTGTTCTTCAGCAGTGTAACCCAGCGCCGCCAACAACATCTCACAGCCTATCGCTGAAGGTAATGACGTACAATCAAAGCACAAGGTGCTGATCAAGAACATATGCCGCATGAACAAAACCACGTCCGTGCAACATGGCGAGTTCACATTGGCGGTCGGTGCAACGCGGTAATAAACATGCCGTCTTACAAGCGAAATGTCAAAACGTCAGTAATGTAGCCGCACCGCTACATAATGCCAAGCGCCCAGTCAACACATGCTCAACTTTGGTAGTCCTCTCGGTACATCGCTGCTTCCTTTTCATTATGCTTTTGATCGTTGGGGCTCGACTGGCCACCATGATCCCCTTCCTTTTACTTCTCGTGATCCTACCACTAGTCATGTGCGATCCATTACAGCTAGACCTGTTATCGACTTCCAACACATCATGGACCGCGTCCCATAATGCTTCGACCCTCAACGCAACTCGTCTCACAACGGACAACGACTGCTTCGACGACATCCTAGGCAAGATCTTCCCACTCACCAAATCCGACTGCGAACACGCCCTCGACACACTCGTCAAGGGGAAATCGTTATTAGAGCCTCACTATTTCGGCTACCAGTCCCGTGGCGTAACGGATCGACTGCCGTTGAAAGCTGAATACGGAACCTGCTCCATCACCTTTATGATGTTTGATCTCGACAAGCGGATCGCGTTGACATATGCCGAGATCTATGCGGAGCTGTTGGGTCCTGATGGTGTGCTGAAGGAGTGCCTGGGTCCAAGTGTGCCAGCAGAGGATGCTTTGGGAGGGCAAACGGTGCTCGGGCCGCGGAATTTGTTAATTGTTGATGTGGAGGGGAGACCTTACAACGCGGAGGATCAGAAGAGCCGGTGATAATGGATTTGCGGGTGGGTGCACCTTGGCGAACGCCTCTTGTTTTTGGGCAAATGAATTGCGATCATAGAGTGCAGAATGGAGTTGAGAATGACGCAATAGAGTTCAACAAATTTGAGAAGGCGCTTCACCTCTGCTGGTAGTCTGGGGAAAGATTGCAGGCCAAGAGTTTCGCTAGTATATAGACTCGGCTAGATTTGTGTTTTGTGAGAATTTTTGTCAAGCACCAAGACCTCCATTAATTTGGCGTTTTCTGGCGTTGCATTTGCTACAAAGCATCTTGTTGAATCAGTCAACCAGCTCTGTCTTTTTAGCCTTCAGAACTGCGTGACTTCACATTGCACGATTTCATACCAGAATCGTTCCTGAGTTGATGAAGTACTGTATTTATTTTCAGGAAATACCAGACGCCTTGCCCGAGTCGTCTAGCAAGCTAGTTGACAATATCCAAATCACCAACTTCTGAAAGACAGAATCTGTGACTGGCAGAGCATTTCGGGCATTGGAGATGGTCTGCGAGGAAGGTCAGGCGGACGGCTCATTACCCGAAGTATTTTGCAATTGCTGTCCGAACAATCTTGTGCGCCGAAATCAAGAAATTCGCATGATCGATACTACAGAAGAACCGAAGACGCATACTCCATGTGAAAGACATAAACCTGGGGAAGATGTGGATGAGATTAACAGTATCGACAATATGCGTTATGATTGTGTGACCAGATACAGTAAATCATAAAGGGGTATGGAGCCTTCGTACGGTGTCTAAATCCTTTTGACTTTTGCGACTCACCATCTAGTCCTACTGCGTAACATCAACTGCGGGTCAACCCTATAACTCGTCCCATCACTAAATGTAAACCAACCCCCTTGTCTGCTCATTCTTTCCATGACAAATATCCCTAAATATCCCTTGCATATCTCAGAATCCCCGGTATTCGCAAGTGTCGCTGACGGAGTATCGCCCGTGTAAGGCAAATGAAAAGTACCCTTTCTGCCAGGAAACAGTACCCTTTCTGACAGGAAAGCATTGTGGCGTCACACCGCCGAATGAGTCTCACCTTGCATAGCAATATCGCGTCACCTGATAGTCCATGTACTGGGGCCTTTTAATATTGAATGAGAGAGTAAGCGGAGTAACTTAAATAGGGATAACATTTCTAAAGGCGTTTTTGATGCTGGAGGTGATTGTGGTGTGCGGGACCCAGGTGCCGCCTCTGTAACTGTTGAAAGTGACGCCTTGGCTAGAACTTAGGGTATCCAAACCGCTGTAGGCGCCGACCTGACGGACGAGGAGAGAAGCTTTGGGAGAGGCAAGAGAGGAAGAATGGGAGTCGATGGGCGAACCAAGTATCAAGAGGCATTTTGGGTGACGGTGACAGCGAAGCTGGCGAGCAGCAATGTTGCTGCGAGCGTTGGCCAGAAAGAGAAGACCCCTCACTGCAGACCAATGTTTCATCATTTGATGTGTTCGCATGGACCTAATCATTCGAGAGTAGGCTTCACTTTCTGAGACAACGTATTACCCTTTTATATTTTTGCCAACACTTACCTTCGACATAGCCTCATGCAACAAGCGCATTTCCATTATATTTGTTGTTAATCTCCGAGTTGTATCACTGTTGTTTTACATTTGCGCTTCTACCGCTGGACTCGACCTTTTAATTCCCGTAGGTTCTTGTCCCGGCAGTTGAAGTAAACGCCGCCTGAAAAGGACGATGGTTTTGCCGATGATGATAAGGTAGGACCAGAGCTGAGTGTTCTCAAAGAATGGTGAATCCTTTTACCCGAGCAGAACGGTATTTTCGACCGTGGGTGTCTCACGTCTCCTCTCTGTGACCAAAGTAACAGTCGGAATCCATGGTCCTATCCTTAGCCGCCGTGCGGCATAACATTTAATACCGTAGAGACACTCTTGGGTTTTTGAGATGAAACCTCTTTGGGAGGCGACCCGGAGATCAAGCACTGCTTCTCAGGCTCGGCAGGTTCAATATTGTGCTGTCTCTACGACAGCTTCAGTGGGTCGCCACTTGTAAGCTCGAGTACTCATAGACCGTTGGCACTGCCAGCAAGTATTTGTGTGCCTCTCTTTTCCGCACCCGTCTCCCTCATACCGCGTAATGAGCTCTTCCACCTCCACTTTCCATAGTCCCACCCGATACCCTGAAACAACCATATTCCGCCACAACTCCACAGAATCTTCCGCTCTCAGCCTCCGCGCGAGTTCCCGGTCTTTGTCCTTATCGGTCCACCAAGCCATGTTACCACTCATGGAAGTCTTGTTCTCCAACGGCTCTTCGACTTCCACGGGAAACCCTAGTTTGGGCCCTGTAGCGCGCCCGTCGCCCTTTCCCCTCACAAGTCTCATCGTCCATAGCCTCTTGGCCAGCTTTGCCTCTTCCTAGACCGCTGTCGTCCACGCAGAAGCCCCCCGCAAGTTGTCCCTAGTCATCTGTGTCGCTGTTACCTATTGCTCGGCCTTGTCTCCGCAAGGGCGTCTCGCCCATCGTGGGTCCAATGGCTTCCGGCCGGCCTGAGCCCACATCTACCAATGCGCTGTGCGTGGTATCCATGGGCGACGTCCTGAGGATAGACTAAGGAGCGTATGAGTTGAGGGTGAAGGCGGTGTAGGAGGTTGAGGTGGAGACCCAGTAGGAAGCGTGATCGAGGATAAGGGAAGTGAGTTCGGAGGGTAGGCGGAAGTGAGGGGAGAGAATGGCGCAAAGGGCGAGGGTGGAGGAGATTGTGGGAAGATGAGAGGTGAGTGCATGGCCTGAACGGGTTGATGCTGCTGAACGTGAGGCGTGGTATTGCTTATGCTACTAATACGATGCTGGTCTCACTTATCCTTCAAACCTTGATCTTAGTGAGAGGACTTTATCGGAGGACATTTTCTTCAACATTACTAGACCATGAACCAGGCCCAAGACCTGAAAGTCTACCAACTCATGGGGACCACTTCCCTAAACAAAGCCAGGTGATCGTCCAATTGAAGCTGCGTCACCGAACCAGCAACATGTCTCTCGTTCAAGTCACGCCAGCAACCGCCCGACACAATTTCCTCACTCTGCCTCGGGAGATTCGCGACCAGATCTGCCTCGCCGTACTTCAGTCACCATCTGAGCCACCAGCATCACCCGAGGACGCCGGTCCACGTTTCGCAGGATTCGGCTCCGAGTCGGAGCGACAGAAAAATGTCTTCTACCCCGTCAACATCTACCCAAGATACGCATGCCAAAGCCTGCAAGCATGTAACCATCAAATGTACACCGAAGTCCGTGAGGTCTTAGCCCGCCATGATACGTCCGAGCGAGGATTGGACTTCACGCTCGACCTAATGATCCAAGCTTGTGACATCTGGCCCACCTGGACCCTTCTTCCCGGTCCCATCAGTCACATACGCAATCTGGAGGTAGAGATGAGGATCTTCGATGACTGTCATGGCAGCCAGTTCGGAGGCGATGGCGGCCCTGGTCCCATCTTTCGACCGCTTCTGCACCTGCTCAGCGGCCTGTTTCATCACGGTCCTCAGTTCATCTACAAGGGCGCCCTCGAGCGTCAGCTCCATGTGGATACGATGGTATTCACAATTTGCCGTGGCGAAGTGCCGAAAGAACGGTTTTACGAGCAAGGAACGGGAGTCGGGAGCCCATCTTGTGTCTTGTCGGTGAGACATAGAATCGCTCAGTCAGTGTGGCTGAAGCTACGCATGATCGCCAGCCGTGGAACATTGTTGGGGAAGGTTTCTAAACTCAAGTTGAAGACGATTGAAGATACGAGAGAGTTTCAGGTGCCTGAGAGGAAGCTGGCGCAGGAAACTGTGGATTATTGGGACGGGTATGGGTATCATTGGGGGATCCAACTTCCATCTGATGGCGGAGGATTGGGTCGAGAAGAAGACCCGTAGTAGTAGGAGGATAGCTGAAAGAAAGTAGTTGCGGAATGCCACTGTTTCACTGTCTTTGGAAACCTTTGATTACGAATCCCTTTCATGACTGCTACGAAGGCACTTCAAGTCACCATCAAGACACTCAATTACTCGCCTATACGCGCCTCCGCTGATGCCCCTGACAACAGCCATCCATCACTCATATCGAGCAGGTCTTACACAATTATTGATCGTGTCAAGCCCCATCTTTTCGCAGTCATCACTCCACGACGACAGACGTCCAACGCTGAGCCTCAATCCATGCTTTTGCGCCAATTCATAAAGCCGCCTAATCTTCTCTCATCATACGCATCCCGCTAGTCGAGTGCGCAGACCACAGACCTTGTCAAAAAAAAAGCAGACGAAGCCTGCCCATCCTTTGAAGTAATCACCCAGCAGATCATGCCATGCCGCTTTCGCTGCGAACGGATAGCCAATCGGTTGCTGGACCAACTGGTGGATGTGCCCTGCTGGCGTGCACCGCGCCAGAGCTCATAGCGTCCACGTGCCAAGCACAGAACGTTCAATTGCCAGTGCCTTCACGGAGGACGTCGATGGACCCGACAGAGCGTTGGGATGTCCTTCTTCGCGACATAAATCACTCGAACGGGAGCGACTTACGTGCCACAGCGTCCACGCTTGAGCTCCGTTTCCACCGTCTGTGCAAATTTGCTCTTCCGACTTCCTCATGTCCTTCTGCAGCCACAAGATACATACATGATATCCCACATTGTCTGATGCTCCCAATAAAGGATCGCGGTTGGGTTTGCGATCGCAGCATGACGGGTTGTTGCTTGTTTGCCTCAAATGAAGTACTCCCTGCTCATATTGAACGCTTTGAGTCTCCCGGGGTCCTTACGAGCTTCGCATTCGGTCATCGGACGAGGCGCGAACCTGCATGAAGAAGGGTAGGTGTCTTCAACACGTAGCGTGATTATTCCTATCTATGATCTTTGATTTCTCTAATACTTTCTTCTGTAGGAAGTCTTGGTTCTTTCTTGAGTATGCTTGAACCTTCAAACCACACAGTTGGTTTCTTCCGTCTTCTGTCGCAGATTTTGGGTCGTGTCTTCCCCCTGCCACCCCTCCCTCGTATCCTTTGGCATCCTCACACCAAATGCACAGATTGCCAGCGCCACCGCCGCCATGCCCATACCGAAATACAAAGCCGATCGATAACCTCTGACTATACTCAGGCCGTGATCATTGGTATGCACTTCCACAAATCCAGCGAACCCGAGTCCGATACTCGTTGCATAAAGCTGCAACGTACCAATCAAGCTTCCAGCAATGCCCTGTTCGCTTTTTTTCACGCTGTTGCTTGCGATTATGGCGGCGGCAGTGAAGATGAAGTCTGGGCAGAAGGACTGGATGACCGTGGCCGGGAACACTGATGGCCAATAGGATTGTTGCGCCGGCATCGTGGCTAAGATGATCTGGGCGACAAGAACCGCCAGAGCGCCGATCGCCAAAATCCACTGGGCTGCCAGTCGCGGGATGAGCCACGCCGCGATGAAGGCAGCGAAAGCCGCGCAGATCGCAATAGGGGTGAGGCCGATGGAAGTAGAGAGGGCGGACCAGTGGCGAACCTCTTGCTGCCAGGCGACGAGGTACCAGATGAAGGTGCCGTAGGACATGAAGCTGAAGAGGACGACGATGACGAGTGGGAAGAACGAAGGAGCCCGAAAGATCGACAAGGGCAGGATGGGGTGTTGCGCGAATCTGTGTTCCCAGACACCGAATGCCACGAAGAAGATGACGGCGGTGACCAGGAGGGCGATTTCATATGGGGCGTCCCATCCGACGGTGGGAGCTTGGCTATGAAAGATTAGCTGGAGTACATTGTTACGAGGTTCAGGACACATACTTCCAGACAAAGTTGAAGCTGATCAGGCCACTGATGCCGAGGACGGACCCGACCCAGTCCATTTGCTCTGACTTGCTGGGAGGGTCCTCTGAGGGAAGCAGGAGCGCAAGGCTTCCAAAGACAATCAGTCCTAGTATGGCCCTAATCGCATCATGTCAGCTGTAGATAGTGATTTTCTGCAGGATCGCGCTCACATAAAGATAAACAACCATTTCCACGGTGTCAGCTCAGCTAAGAGACCAGCGAACAGAGCCCCCAACCATCCTCCCACAGGAGCCCCGGCGCCGAAAAACCCTAGACTTAGGTTGCGCATCTTACCCGGCGGAAGTGTGGTTCCAATGACCGCGATAGCATTGGGCACAATCATTGCAGCACCGATACCACTCAAGGCCCTCGCAGTATTAAAGGCGATGAAGTTGTTGCAGAATGCGTTGATGAAGGACCAGACGATCCACCACCCTGCTCCGCCGAGCAGGATGTTCCTGTGGCCGTAGATGGAGCCAAGCCGGCCTGTCATGAGCACGAAGGCACCCGAAGTCAATCTGGCGGGTCGTGGCATGTCAGCTCACACGTCGGAGATGTGAGCGTGGAGAGATACGTACGAGTACGATGCTGGGATCCACGCCGCTTGACTTGGTCCATCAACACCCAGAGATTGTCCGATGATCAGTCCGCCTCCAATACCAAGACCAAACGAAATCATCTATGAAACGAATCAGCGAGTGCGGTATAACCGGATGGGTTGAAGTACCGGCACAAGGTTGGTCAAGACTATCAGTATCGCGATGGCACGCTTGCGAGCTTGACCAATTGAGAGGTCGTGGTCCTGTGCTCTGTACTCTAGTGGAGGAGCCTCCAGCTTCTCTACGATGGCTTCCACTGTTTCGCTCTCCTTTTCTTGAATGGACGGTAAATGACATGGACTAGGTGGCTTGAGTATGAAGTCGGCCATGGTGGTGGCGGGTTGAGGAAATCTTCAGCAGCGTCTCTCGCGATAGGAATCCAAGGAGGATACTTTTGACTCAGGGACGACGTTGGTAAGATGGAATTGTGTATATGGCAATCCATTGAAAGGCAGGAGGAAGGGTATTCTTATATGACTTTGTCGACGGGTATATGGAAAAGGTTGGGCAGTGGCAAATTGATAATGTTTGATAAGCATCAGTGAGAGGGACAGCACGGAGTGGTACTTGGAATGGCCTAAAACGGTAGATTACCCATTGCATATGTTCATGTGAGGGAATGTTGAGCTTGAGAAAGCTTGTCCATGGAATTTACTTGGGCCACGGAGGTATCAGCAGGCATCTCAATCCGGCAGATCCTTGCAGTCGCCTTCTCCGAATAGCTCCACCATTCCTCTGCTGTAGGCATACTGTAAGAACGTATGATAGCTAGAGCAATTAAAAGTGGCGAGAACGTTTGGAGCTTGTCTTGTATCGCGGTGTAGACTAGGACGGGTGCTAATTGCCAGTTACCAATGGGGCAACTTTGCAACTGCAGGCATCGTACCTAACGAGAAACCAACTCTCGCACGCCAATGGTTCAAGATGGTGAGAATGGGTGAGAGGTGGTTGAAGATTTGAAGCCATTGCGGAAGGGCAGATGCTTGATAGGAAAGTTTCCCTTCTCGGCTCAAAGGAGGAACTTTCCTCACTCGACTGGAATTCCCATCCCTTTTCGCGTCAACAAACTTTTAAGTGTGAATTTTTTCTTTCTTTTTTCTCTTTCTCCTTTCTGTTTTTAGACTCTGGTATCAGTATGGATGATTGTCATATTCCAGAAATGAGGAATGGCGTTTGCGTGGATTTTGCCGTAGCTGTGCTTCTTGGCACTGCGTCATCAGATGATTACTAAGCAAGATTCGTTTGTCGCCCTCTCGTTGCCTCAGTCCCTCAGACCTGCCAATCGCTAAGCCCCTTCCTTGCCTGCTGACTTCGCACTAAACGGCGGCAGCTTTAGAGGATTACTAAGCGGAAGGCGCTAACTCGAGGCTTTGGTCTTGCACTTCTGGGCTGAGCCAACCCTCTCGCCAATTCCTATCTTCCAATCATTCCGCTTCTCTCTCCTCTCCTCTCTCTCTCTCTCTCTCTCTCTCACTGAGTGTGGGGCCAAAAGAATATTTCAATGCCTGACTGGTGAGCTTGATGATATTCTCTTTCTTACATCTCGCTGTCACAATGCCACCAAGACAATATTACGCTAAACAATTTCTCTGCTCAGCGCCAGCTGCCGGGTCCGGCATCTGAAGTGTAAACCCTGATCCTCCACCTTTCCATACCAGCCAGACGGCTGCTTTGCATAAGTCGCTGCAAATCAACTGATCGATAGCAGGCCATGGACAGCATACATGCTCGCAATGCCAGTCGGCCGGTCGTGTCTGCATACGAGGATACAACATCAGGTTTCGAAATCTTGTCTGCCCGTCCAAAGACATCTCACCAGCCGAGTACAGCAAGTACGACTTTTTCTTTGACCCCGATCAGGAATGGAATACTCTGAATGCCAAAGGTAAAACACCCGCTGTACTGGGGCCTTACATAAGGACTGACGTGAGGACCGAAGAAGTGGAGTTCGTCAATGAAAATGAAGCTGTTGTCAGTGCCTATGGAGCAGACGATATCGATGGCCGTTCTTCCCTATTCCATGTAGCGTCACCGAGAGGGGACCAGCACCATCGAGGAGAAAACTTACCGCCAGACCAAAGAGCAGATGCCCCAAAATGTCCGACTTATGAGGATTACAGCAATGCTGGTCAGACTGAATTTGTGAACTTTGAAGAACCCTCAAAAGGTGCTGTGCTGCTCGAACCCAGCCTCACAGCTCGCTTTGATGAGCCAGACGAATTGCAGCAAAGGGTGTCGACCCAGCTCGAACAAAAGCATCGGGAGAAATCACCAGAGCTCAAGTTTCCAACTTTCCAGAAGATTGCAAATTTTGATACATTCAGACCTAGGCCGCGTTCCCATTTCTCAAGTGATGCGATGTCGGTGTGGCCATTGAGAAGCATTGAGGAATCCCGTCTCTTGCAGCACTTTATTCAAAATCTGGCTCCATGGGTTTGTTTGTGATCAGATTCTACACGCCGTTCAATTACGCTAATGTTGCGACCAGTTTGATGTTGGCGACAGCAAGAGACACTTCACAAAAGTTGCACCGAGCATGGGGGCCTACAGTCCTTTGCTCATGAACGCCATCCTTGCGGTATCAGCACTGCATTTGAGCCGCGTCTCCGACCTGGACACTTATGAAGCAGTTCGCTACCATGATAGATGCTTGGGACTGATGGTGCCATTGCTCAACGATCCTGACCGCGTCAAAGATGACAATCTTCTCATGACAACTGTCATCCTACATCTCTACGAAGACATAGACAGTATGGCGTCTCCCTTTATTTGCCATGCCCGTTTGAGGGTTTTTGCTGATCCTTGACCGCTGCAGTCGGTGCTGATTCCGTGCGCCACATTATGGCAACATCGGCCTTCCTTCCTGCATGCGGCGGTCGCCTCTCATCCCAACTGCGCAGAGCAGTCTTTTGGCTGCATCTACGTAATGAGATCTATGTTGCCTGTAGCCATCAACGCACGGTCCAGGCAGATCTGGAAAACTGCACATTCGAATCCTTAGATACTTCTCTTGATAATGATTTGTGGCTTCATAGGGCACTATGGATCTGCGCACAGACGTTGCAGTGGGCTTACGGAGACGATCCTACTCCTGCCAAATGGCGGGAACTTTGTCAACTAATAGACGAGTGGTCAGACAAACGCCCCAGCAGCTTCGACCCTCTCTTTTTCAAGCCGCGCGATCCAAGCCACAATCTTTGGTTCCCCGAGGCGACTTTTGCCACTGATGAGCATGGTGCGTCTTGGTCAGAAGGCCCTCAAGTATCAGAGTTTACACTGACATCGATGGAAAAGTCGTTGCGGCCCACTTCCTCTATCTAGCAAAGCTTCTCTTGACAGCGCACGACCCAAACATTCCACGGATTGGACCTCAGATGAAGTCTGCTCTGGCAGAGATGAATGTGAGTAGTCCTTCCATCATTTCAATGATCTTGCGATGTCGAACAAATATTCTAGGAAACTGCTCTTTCATACGTGCGGATGCTGTGCGGTATCGCGCTCTGTAACAGCTTCGTACCAGCCAGATTCACTGCCAGTCTTGCCATCATCATGTGTAAGTATTGGGGTTTCGACTCCAAAATGCTACGCAATCTTTCTCGGTCAACTCCTCTTGGCTAATCTTTGCTCTCTAGGTGGCAGTTGGTTTACTCACCGGCCTGAACAGGAGGTACTGATTGATTTCATGCAAGGTACCGAGCAATGTAGTGGCTGGCCAAGGAAACAAGCACAGAAGGCACTGATCGAAGATTGGGGTTGGTCCGACGATAATTGATCAGCTCTAGAGGCCAGATCTCTTCCACCGGCATAGAAGTAGGCTTGCTACATCCCAAGATTGCGGCTATAGCGAAATTGGCGGCAACAATTTAGATCTACCGCGTCAGCCAAACATCATCCAGACTTTCAGGAGACATGGTGAGGCGTGTCAGGTTTGGTGACCAGACTGGCGGGACTAAAAATGGGGTTCATAACCTTCTTCACGAGTTGCAAGGTTTGATCCTCTCGTCTGCGAGTGTACGAAACGATAACCGCGCACCCTCACGCCTATCGCATGTCTCCCGAAACACGGTGGAGAACGCGAAACAATATCCGCGCACCACTGCCACGAGGCAACATCTACAAAAACATTCGAAGGACCTCACATGCCGACTCGCAACCCAAAAAGTCAAGTCAACCGTCGCAGATCTCCAGGTCATAACACTCTCTGAAGGATGTCACCATTCGGAAATCGCCGCTCATTGCTTGCCTTCGCTACCTGTCTCTCTCCAGCGTTTGTTCTTGCAACTCCACTCGCCGCTCCTGGACTTAACGCAGAGGGATTGAGCAGACGAGGTAACGGTGCCAAAATCCCTTGCGGCAATGCGCCGAACATAATTGCCGGAAAGTGAGTTACCAAACATCCTATTCATCTAAACATCTCGAGTGTTTTCTTCCGGGAGATAGTAGCTGACCCCAGGACTTTTGCCTTACCAATAGCCCCGTCACCGCCGCCGATATAGTCGTCCCTAGTCAAGACGAAGGGCCTCCGCTAGCGACTACAGACCCGTCGGGTTATTTTCCCTACCTCTGGTGCGGCGCAGGTACATCCACCTACGTCTTCATCGACCCCATTGGTTCCTACGGCTACAACAAGGGTACCGACGGTCTCATCTTCTGGAGCGGCCTCGACGGCGCCTACAACGCAACGCAGAACGCCATGAAATCCCGCGCCGCCACAGGGATAAACCCGCCCATGGGCGACGGCTCCATCGACAGCTCGCACAGCACATCGCTGACATTGCTGGTACCCATCGGGAATGTCACCGGCGGAGACTCTGGAGTCCAATGGGTGGAAGTCTTTGCGCAGGATAGTAACCACCAGAAACTGACCTGGGGCATCTACGGGGCTGCTTTGACCATTATGAAGGATTTCGTTTTGAGCTTCCCCTTGTACGCCGATGCGTCGTATTTTCAGATCAACGATGGCAAGTGGGGTACGGTGGGGAACGGGTATGTGGGGATCGGGCTTCATACCAACACGACGAACTGTTACCTCAAGGGAAACCCCACGCAGAATACCGGCCTCATCTGTGGTATGCCTAGCGATTACCCTAATAACTAGCCTTCGTTTAGACAGACTTACTTTCTGTTTGATAGACTTGCCGTGTACATTACTCTCTTCAGATTCAAATGCTCTAACAAGGTCTCTCTATGCATTGATGTGACCACTGGATGAGAGACGCAAAGCCCGCTTTCAGTCGGCGAACGATAACGCCCAAGTGCTATCCCCTCATCGGCTATAGGGAAGCACAGGGTCTGAGTCTTCGGCAGTCAAGTCCCTGGACAAAGCATCAACGCGAGTCAACAATCTCGCAGCTCCCACGCTCGTAAATATAGTCGTTGCCTCGGCATGTCATCGAAGAAGGGGATTAGAGTCAATGCACATACCGCAGCGGGCGACCGACCATCGGACTTCAAAGAAAGAACATAATCACGTACCCAGTGGCGCCATTGAGTCGCTGGAAACTGATGTCGCTCCTTGGAGTCCGCATCAATATTACTTCCATCTATGCTGATACTGTATACGAATGCATTAGCAAACCCCCCCCCTTGCAAGATGCACCGACAATCTTAAACGCTCATTCCCGACCCCTCAAAGACCCCACAGCCATCTCGATTGCGACGATCATCCCCATATCCGCCTTCAATTCACAAAGAGCGTACCCCTACGGAAAACAGCTAGCGCCCAATATCATCACTGCAGTTGCTAGAGACACCGTGCGACTCTGCTCAGATACGATGGCTGTCAGGATGACTTATTGGAGAGCGTGTCTGCAACATGCAAAACTGAGTTCGCGTGTCCGTCCTTCGGACAGTTGCTCCGATACGGAGATTGCTTTGTCTTCTCACAGTGAACAGAATGCAAGACTGTCTCTGCCGAGCGTCATAGGTCATGCGTTTCTGACTGTTCTGTTCGAATATATGACTGGTCACTTGGTGGCACGCACTGCAAGTACGAATCAACCCCCGCCTCCAGCGGTGAAGTCTCGAAGTACTATGAGGACTGAGGTAATGGCGTCGCATTTCGAATCGTTCGAGTCGAGTGTTGGTGCGTCACAACAGTGACAAAGGCTTGATTATCCGTACCTTCAATACCTAGGGTCGAGTGAGGCATCATTGTGGAGCCAAGAGCACATCAATGCGTATCCACAGTATCAAACCTAGCAAAGAACATTCCAAACGACCATCACCACAAATGGATTCGAGTATCTGCGTGTCAGTATCTGGCGCCAGTTGTGGCAAGATAGGGAAAGGCCGAGCTGTTACGGAGAGACATCGAGGTTGTCAAGTCCTCCCCCTATGTGTGGGAAAAGAGAATTGCCTGGTTGAATTGTTATGGCGCAAGTAGTGCAGTACCATTCATGACGACGGTGTAAGCTTTGTTGGATAGAACTATCTTATGATCGATGTCTCTGTTGAAGAAAACAGGCAACGGGCAACAGGCAACAACCATAAAGGACAAAGATGTTATTCCATTTCGCAGTCTTCACCATCACCATACAAGCGCTTTTTTATTCTACCGGAAGATAAATTCCAGTTTGAGATTTTCCCGTGCATTTCTTATTGGGAAGTGACTATCGATTTAGGGACTGCAGATTCTTTGATGGCGTAGCATCCAGACCTGATCACCCTTCCTCTTTCTTCATGGCAAGACGCAGACGCCCGCAGCGGTGCTTTGTGATATGACCGGCGACTGCATGAAAAGAGTACGAAGAGAATGGCAAGAGCAAATCAACCGGACTCTTGAAGGACTGCCAGAATGACAAGAAGGGTAATTTTCGCGCTTGAAAGAAACTATGCTTAGCGGGGGTCTCCAATGTCATGGAAGGCGTGACGATAGCATGTAACTGCCTAGTGAAGTTAAACCAATTGAAGGCGACACATTTGAATTACCGGAGACATGCGCTATGCTACGGTGGCAACTTGCAGATTGAATGCTAAGATCGACGCTGTCATGTGGCAGTGGATGCCGCGGGCTTATACTTTACTGGAAGTATGCAGCTTCGAGGATCATCGGATCATGCACTTGTCAGCACTGCGTACTCTTCAAAAGTCTGGATATTGGCATGAAAGATCTTCCTTATCAGCGCTTCCCCAAAAGAAACCGAGCAAATTACAGGGGCCGGTTTGGATTCTCCTGAAGAGGAAAGTTCCCTCTGTCGGCCAGCCGCTCGGCCAACCTTCCTTGCTCGCTCGATCATGACCTCTCCACTCCGCGACCTGCCCTCGCTGCACTTGTATCTGCGCCAATTCCACACACGCACTCGGTGATGGAATGTCAACCCGAAGTCGGATGTTGCGCTGATTGTCGAGGATGGTAACTTGCCTTTGCCAGAGTCCTGCGCGAGGAAGCAATATATAAAGCATCACGTATCCCATCACAGGCAAGTCCTCATTCAGTACCTATCTCTTTCTTCCCCCCAGCATCGCAAGCCATTCCCATGTCGATCACCAAGCCAACAGTGCCTTCCTATATATACTTATTAGACTCAGATGACCATCTTCCTCCAACGGCAGTAAAGATGTCCGACGAGCTCCCACCTTATACCCCTCAAGCCCTCACGGACATCCTTCCCATCTACCACCCGGCAAACACCAACCACCACATCAGCATCTACACTCTGCACCAAACAGCACCTGACACCCTTGTCCTCACTCTCCGTGACCACCCTTCTGAGTCAGCCACCGCCTACACCTCTACCCTCCCCGTCTGCAAAATCCGTACCAACAAGACCGGCGGCTTCATGAACCGCAAGCCACATGTCATCATTACCACTGGCGAATGTGACGAAAGCCTCAATCGGCCACTGGCGGAGGGAAGATTTGACATACATGGGACCGGGACGACGATATCGTATTCACACTTGCCGAACATGCAAATGATCCAGAGGCTGGAGCTCGAGGATTCCCTGTCGCAAAGGCTGAGAACGACGATCTGGGGACATGAACATTGGTGGACGCCGAATCCGGGCAACAAAGGAGTGTTGGAACTCACAAACGAGATGGATGAGATCGTGGCGAGGTTCGTGCATACGGTTCCCGTGTCGCAGATGACAGGTTCTGGTAAGAGAGGCAGTACCGGAAGGAAGAAGGAGGCAAGAGAAGAGCTGGGAGACCTTCACATCGTTGATGCATTGGCAGAAGGTGGGAGGGAAGAAGTGATATGTAGCGCTCTGGTCGTGGTGGAGAGGGCGAAGAGGAGGGCCAATAACATCAGCTGTACTGGGATAGGGAAGACTGCACCGGCGTGGAGTATGAGTGCTGGGCCGCCGGGTGGATTTATCTGAAGGAGAGCCTGGATCTTGAGAAAATTGAAGTCAAAAGAAGATAGTAGTGGTTTGAGGGACGGAGGTCTCGACAAAGGAACAGGTGTGCAGTGGTGCGCTTTTAGTTGAAGACGGGAAGAATGCTAGCAAGATCTTGAGTCAGTACCCGTATTGGAATAAAGTGACGACTGGGAACAATGGACCTCAGCAGCCGCAGAACAGCGGATAGCCTTGACCGTCTCTGCAACTTCTGGGCATGCCGTTGTTGGCTCCTCAACCCCAGCTTCAACAATCGCTGCGAACAATCTCCAGGTCCGAACGTTCACATCCCTCTTGTTTCGAGTTAAGCAGGTCTTTTTCCACGAGAAACGGATATCCACACGATGGGCGCACACAACCGCTTCGTCTGAAGTTTTGTCTTCGATCCTATCATACGCATTGTTGCTGGCCGCTAGAATCAGGTATTCGGTCTCGTTGAATGCTACATCTGCCATTACCCCTCGAAAATCGAACCTAACCAGTCGACAGCACAATCAATTTCGCAGACCAAGATCTAGGAATCTTCGCCCGCTTCAATGAATGATCGTACTTCGCCATTTTCGCACAGACGAAGGTGGTGACCTCTTTCTCCTGCAACACCTTCTCGCCATGGACATCCTCGCCAAAGAAGGTATTGCAGACCGATCTTCTGGATGCAGTATATTCCCCCGAACTGGCGCTGGCTGGTAGAGGCGGTATAGCACGTTGGGTCCTTTATACTTGGCTCACCACCGGAGAGAGTCCGCCATTTCGGCCTTGTGTCGCTCACTGCTTCGCAAAGAATGTCAATTTTGGGGGTGTGTCGCCAACGAGTTCTGAAAGCTTATCACGCCGAGTCTGTGGCGAAGGTTGCTGTACATGTGCAGAAAATGAGAGATATATACGAGCATGAGAAATTAGGGAAGCATGCACAGCGGGCTCAAAAACTTGATGCACATCAGTTCATCAATCCACCTTGAGGGAGAATCGCTGTCGGCCTTTTCACGTTCAGGAAATCTTCAACCGCTTTGTGAGGGATCGATGTGAGATGCCCACCTTGGACTTCGACGTGGACGAGATAGCAGGTTTGTGCAGGTATGATAAACTATTGTTGCTATTCATAGTTTAGACACAGCGTAGCAATATGTTTGATAGTCGCCACGGAAATTCATTCCCAGCACCAATGTAGCTTTGTACTCGTATGGGTGACTCAACAGTCACGTGATCTCGTGACTCCGTGACTCTTCCCCTCTTCCAGCTTCCACACAAAAAAAAAAAAAAAAAAAAAAAAAAAAAAAAAAAAAAAAAAAAAAAAAAAAAAAAAAAAAAAAAAAAAAAAAAAAAAAAAAAAAAATTTATTATCTTCTCTTATTTCTTAATAATTAAAGGAGATATCTCTATATTTTTCTTTAAACTTATTAGAATCGATATAGATGTAATATTAATATAGGTATATTTAATAAGATAACTAAGGTATCGAACTATATAGGTGGAAAGAAGGTATAATATAATAGAGGATATCTCCGCCAAGGCCCGCTAGCCATAGGGCTGAGGGGTGTATTAAGGGTACGCTTATAATACTACCTCCCCCTTCGTTAAATCATATCCCATGATTAGTGAGTGGAAAGGTAGAAAAATGGGTATGTATGCTCGCTTGACGTCTGAAAAATAATAAAAGCAGTAAAGAAATAACCGTATCCGGGAACCCCAGCATCGTACCTTTCTTCGTCAGAGGTATTAAAAACGATAGTAGCTTTTTATATTTACGCTATAGTGACATCGCTAGTCGAGGTATATACGTATATAGAGGGTCTAGCCGGGAGAAAATCGATGTAATATAGCGAAAATTATACCTATAGACGCAGGGGTAAATAATTATAATTTTCGAATTTATATTTAAGCGAATAGAATATCTATAAAATAATGCGATATAATTAATTAAGGGCTCTTAAATCGAATTAAGCTATAAACGCTAAAAACTCTAATTTAATATTAAGTAACTTTAATATAGTCTTTTTTATAATATATTATTTAGCTAATATCGATTATATTTCGTAATAGCGATAACGTAATCTATATATATACTAGTATAGCTTCGAAAGGTCTTTAGAGTTATATTAGTAATGGAGGCCTACGCGAAAGATTATATATAAGATAATTTCTAATTAATATAGATCTGAGAAATCGATTCTCGGTTTTAAAAAAAATAAGGCTATTATAAAGATATCGAATAATTTCAATTTGACTAAAAATGGGGTATCTGAGATAGTTCTAGCTCGAGAACGCTATCGCTATTAAAGGCCCCTCGTTCTAATTCCTTTATAGATAAAGCTCTTCGAAATATCGCTTATAAAAGTCGTTTATTAAGTTCTAGCAATTTTCGAATTTATCGCCGTCCGTATTATATTAGTTAAGATTATTATCGAGACTTTTCTACTTAACTTTATACTTAAGATAACTATAAATTAATTTAAAGTCAAGTATTTCTTTAATAATTTATTTAATTTAATCGTTAATAGTAATATACTTCGATAAAGAGTTTATCTACTCTAATAAGAGGTTGTTTATCGCGAGACTTAAGAGATTAAGGTAAAAGACGTTATAGATCCTTATAATTAACGGAAGTTCTAAACGATATAAGATTTTCATAAGATCTATAATCTCGAATAAATCGAGTCTCTTATAGTCTAATTTACGGAAAGAGCGATTAAAGATAATATTCTTACTATTTAGAAAGACTTTATCGCCTATTTAAAAAGTAATCTTTTATCGATACTTATTAGCTTATATAACTACGAGTAAAGGCCTATGAATTAAATTCATAATCATCTTTTTGATTAGGGCTATTGAGTAAATAGGTGAGCGAACTTTGGTGAGCGAACTTTGGTGAGCGATATTTAGACTCCTTGCTTATTAATAACTATAGGACCAAATTTCAAAATTCTTAAAATTATGGAAAGCGCAAATGACGCTCCATAATTTAAAAAAAAATTCTCAAAATTTTAATAGAAAACAAAAAAGTTATTCTATTCGTGAATAACGTACACCTATTTTTGATAAGGGAGACGCGGGAGGGCGAGATTTTGATGGTTGCGGACGCTAATTTATTTACCCGCGATGACTCAGCCGGTCTAATCAAAGAGCGTAGTGACCCTGAATTTATGATTAGCTGCACATACAAATTTAAGGTTTTTAAGCTCAGCCCTATCTTATTCTATTATATATACTAATAGTCTTCTAAGCGCGGTTCATATTACTTTAAATATACTTAAGAACTTATTTTATATAGTTCGTAATATCCTTCGTCTAAATAATATTAAGACGCTTATATATAATCTCGTAGTCGATAATATTTAAGCTAAAAGTTATTTAAGAATAAAATCTCTTATTTATAAGAAAAGATAAGATATTAATAGTCGATAAGATAGTATTATTATCGGCAAACTCGATAATAGATAGTTATCTTACTTAGTCGTCCTATATATAATTATAGTATATTTAAAGATAACGCTTTATATTCTAATTCGCTTATTTAATTTATTTATTAATTTTAGAGTAAAAGATTATTAATAGCTTAACTATAATATCTAATCTCTTATAAAAAAGACTTTCATATAGTAGCTATAAATTAAAAGCCTCGATTCGATATTATTAAGATCGATAAGTTATATAGATAAAATACTTTTTTAAGTAGTAAGTTAACTATCTTCTTAGTAATAATATCTTTATTAATATCGAAATAGACTACGTAATAATATTCCTTAATAAGTCTATCGATTACTACTTAAATAGCGTTATAGTTATTAGATATAAGTAAGCCTATAACGAAGTTAACTAATATATCTTATTATCGTTTTTATAGAATTAGTAGAGACTATAATAAATTATACTCTCGATTATGAGACGTCTTAGTTCTTTAATAAATATAGTAATTCTTAACGTAGATAGCTACGATAGCCTTTATACCTCGCTAGTAATATTTTCTTTTAAATAGTTCATAGATATATACTACCTCGGAATGGCCGTAGAATAATTAATTATAGACCTCTCAAATAACATCGATATATATATTATCGAATACTTATAAACGGTCCTTATAGTAAAGCACCTCGTCTTATATAAAGCACTTATTAAGAATAATCCCTTAAAACTTATCCTTACCTTCGGCGATAGCGTTACGAATTTTTATATAATATTTATCTTTCTTATTAACCTCTACTACTTTGTAATAGATAAGATTATTAATTGTATATATATTAATATATTCGTCATCTAATTTTAATCGATTAGAGATAAGAATTATTTAATACTATTAACGTAATTATTTATTCTCAAAATCGATTAGTTTATATTTAGCTATTCGTATAAATATATCAACCTTAACGTTCTAAGGTCTAGATCGATAAATAATCTTTATATTAAACTCTAATAATATATTTAAATACCGAGTCTAGCGATAGCTAAGGTCTCTTTCTTTAACGAAGTATATTAATTTCTTATAGTTCGTGAAGATCTTAATAGAAATATCGATATATTTCAATTTAGAACGTTAATATTTAAGATAGTAAATAATAACTAGTAACTTCTTATCATAGATCTAATAGTTATACTCGATTAAAATAAGATTCTTACTATAGAAGACTATCGGGTAAAGTACTTCCTTATCATTATATTAAAAAAGAATATCTTTATTAACGTAGTTAAAAGAGTTAATCTCTAGAATAACATTCTTTATTCTATCGAAATAATATAGAACTAAAACTTTTATAACGACGACTTTTAGAAAATAAAAGATCTCTTAATATGCTGAGGACCAATTAAATATAATCTCTTTTACGATGAGTTTTACTATAGATTTAACTATTTTAGAGAAATCTCTAATAAACTATTAATAAAAATTATAAAATCTAATAAAGGCCTATATCTCTTTAAGGTTAATAGATATAATTCACTCGATAATAGCTTAAATTTTAATAAGATTTATTCGCAACCCGTCTATAAAT